GGGGGGGGCCCGACCCACCGTTTATACAAAATTGGTTCCCCTTCACCCAGGAATGCTTCAGACCAAATATGGACCAAATCCTTTCCTTCCTACAGAAGAAGAAGGATTTTAAAGAATTAGCTATATTTCCCCTATTGGGCCCTGCCCCTCAGCCCCCAGGGAGGCAAGACCCACCATTTATACAAAATTGAGTTCCCTTGGCCCAAGGTTGCTCCAGACAAAATTAGGATAAAATCCCTTCATCCCTACGGTAGGAGAAGGATTTTAAAGGTTTTACCTCTATTTCCCCTATTGGGGCCCCGCCCCTCTGCCCCCAGGGGGGCCACACCCACCGTTTATACAAAATTGAATTCCCTTGGGGTAAGGATGCTCCAGACGAAATTTAGTCAAAATCTACTTGGCCTTTCAGGACTAGTAGCGTTTTAAAGGAAAAGTTGACGGACGACAGATGCTGCGGTATGGCATAAGCTCACCATGGTCCTTTGGACCAGGTGAGCTAATAAACGAGTAACAAATCAGAAAGACTTATCATTTTTATTTGTTCAATAAATAACAATTTTCCCCAATCCCATATACACTATCACCCAACAGACACCCTTGGAGTTTCTATATGGCTGGTACCCTAGATACTATATGTGTGTTCTGGTTTATGGAAGTCAACTTCCAACACTGACAAGAACCCTCTTTTTGTGAGAACTAGGAACAAACAAAAGTCTTCAAAAGTTTTCAAACTTTGGTTAATTTTAGTCCATAAAGAACGGCGACACAACCAAATATTCCAGATTGAAATAATATAATCATGTTAATGATAGTACTTTATACCTAAGAGAAGTTATTTTTTAGAAAGCAGAATGTTTTGAAAAGCACCCAAAATCTATCTCAGATTTCCTTTGCCCCTACACTTCTCGGGCAGCTCTTGAATTGGATGTGTGTATTAATGTGGATTTTCTATTTTATATAAAAATACATATCTTATTTTAATATCCATCATGTTCTTCACATAAAGAAATTAACCTTGATTGTAGAAAAAATATGACACCGATTCTAAACTACAAATCTATTTTCAACCATTCACACAAATACATTTCTATTTTACTTTGAGATTATTTTTTCATTTTGAGAGATATCCATTTATTATATACTGAGGTGAGTCAATTGTGAATTTAGAGCTGACATACAAAAGATACATAAAAATCTTTTTTTTTTCATTACTTCACAACTTTTAACAGTATTTAAAGCTTCATATTTTTGCATAGTTACATTTTTCACTCTCTATATTTCTGCAAAAAGGCAAATTCAATGAGAAGCATTTGTGACAATCCTTACCAGGGCTTTTTACATATATTATATATAAATATACATGTAACGCCATGAAACTTCCTGTGAACTGAAAATATGATCATTTTGTTTAAAAAAACTGGTTTACAGTTTAAGATTTCCAGTTTTTAAATATACTTTTTTTCATTTCATTGTTGTGAGGGAGACATGAAAATTTGCTTCCCTGAGATAACTTGTGTCTTCCAAGGGTGCAGCCAATCGTAATATATCCCAACCATGGCAATATAAACACTTTAAAGTTATGATTTCAAATTCCCATAGTGGCTTTGTAGTATTTACATATAACACAATAAAGCTAGCATCAAATTTAACAATCAGATTAAATTTTGATATAATCCATGAAGATTACTCCTTGGGGAAAAATGGGTCGCATGAAAGAGCCTTTCTGTTTTGTCTCCCGGTCATGTGATTTGTCTAACCAATCAGACACACTGTAACTGGGTAACATGATCATATAGGAATAATAAAATCTCTTGTTTACTTGGAACATATAATACCAAATTTCATCATTTTCATGTACAGTAAGCACATCGTCAGAAAAACAAATTGTCCTTACATACATCGTGCTAAGAATACATGACAAGTGATAAATGTTACTCGTATTTTACATAAAGCTATGACTTTTGATTCATCTGAGTGACTATCAAGTTCTTGTTAATCTGTGAAGATGCTTATTTCCATCCCGATGATATTGACGTAAGCTAATCTAATATGGTCCACCATGATGTAAGGATAATTGTTAGAAAATTAATTCATTAAAGGCTGGCTTTACGGTATATATGTACTGTACATGTATTTTTGTGGATGACAAAATAACCAATTTTGCAAGATAATTTTGTTGCTTTAAAAGTTAAATTAAACAATAATTGTGGAGTGTACACCTTTTTTGTAGGTGATGCCGACGTTTTAACAACACATCTAAAATGCTTTTAAATTTACAGTCCCAAAAAGATGTCATTAGAAGGAGAACCAACAGAAGCTGTATGCCTCCCATTATTTGATTGGGAGTAATTGTGACACTATCGTTAGAATTTGTCATGGTGTTTTATCTGTATTCCATAGAAAAAATCATGACTTTAAATGATAAAATGATTTGTAAAGCAGAATATTTGTGATAAAATTGTTAAAACTGAAACAACCATGTGCAACCATATATATGACTTGCACCTAACACTACATCACTCCCACCTAACACCACATCGCTCCCACCTAACACCACATCACTCCCACCTAACACTACATCACTCCCACCTAACACCACATCGCTCCCACCTAACACCACATCACTCCCACCTAACACTACATCACTCCCACCTAACACCACATCGCTCCCACCTAACACCACATCACTCCCACCTAACACTACATCACTCCCACCTAACACCACATCGCTCCCACCTAACGCCACATATCACTCTCTCCTTACCTTCATCAATCACTTTCACTAAATACCACAACACTCTCACCTAACACCACATCACTTTCACCTTACCTACATCAATAACTCTCACTAAATTCCAAAACACTCTCACCTAACACCACATCGATCTTGCCTTATACCACAATGCTCTTGCCTAACACCACATCATTTTAATCTAATACCACAACGCTCTCATCTAACACCACATCCCCTGAAGCGACAAGCTCAGGTGGATGGTTGTAGGGAAACACACGACACAGATGTAGGCAGGTAAGCTGTGTAGTCATGTATATAGCTGCGCTGTGATGTTATCAGTTGCTGTAGCTAATCATTACAAATCCTCTTTTTGTTCCATTTTCCCCAGCTCCTCTTCTTGTTCCATTTTCGCCCACAATATAACTCTTCCAATAGAATTCTCAAACTTCTTGCTTTGTTTAACTGCAAAAAACAACAACAAATCTTTTGAGATAGATTCAATTTTTTCCAAGAAACAATAAATTTGTTGTTAACTTGAATTTTCAACAAATATAATAAACATGAAAATAAAAAAGTTAAAGCAGATTATTATTTGCTTGTCAAAATACAGTGCATCTTTCCTGACCTGAACTATGTATATCTGAGAAACTTACAGAAACATGAAGTTGTTAATCTTGGTACAGCGATACTTAAGAGAGGTTTTTCTGTATGTGTTTCATCTGTCGGGTTTAGTTTATTTATGAACAAATGTTCCCTTTGGTGTTCAACAAGAGGTGATGCTGAATAAATGTTCTGTGCAATGTTCAGGAAGTGTTCCATATGATGTTCAGCAAGTGTTCAGTAAAATGTTCAGCAAGTGTTCAGTAAAATGTTCAGCAAGTGTTCCACGTTATGTTCAGCAAATGTTTCGTATGATGTTCAACTAGTGTTCTGCAGTATTTTCCAGAAGGTTGTAAAATGATAAATATTGCTTTGTTGCCTTAAGTGATGCAAGGAGCAAAGGTATTTCAAAAATACCTGTTATAAGTTAAGGGATGATAATAAGTGTCACTTTGTTCTGTTGTCCTTCAATACTTTGTCTTCATGTAACAAAAATGAGCAGACACTAAATAGCACCTTGCTCCTTTCATCTCTGTGTACATTAACTCATTCACCCCTGAAGACACTTTTGAACTCGTCCAATTCAAAGGTTGGAATAGTTCATTATGAAATTTCAGGGGTGAATGAGTTAACCTTAACATCTCGAGAAATAGCAATACATGACTGTCCTAGCTCCCCCAACCACAGGTGAATATCATGTTAACAAGTATGTAAGTGAACCTATTGTTTAACAGTCAGCCAGGTGCAACCTATTGTTTGACAGTCAGCCAGGTGTAAAAAATACCCTGTTAGGCCAAGGCATTGTTTACATAATGCGTCCAGGGTGTGACAGAAGGTCCCAAGGGCATTTATCATGAATCATTACCACCATTTACCTGTATTTTTTTTGTGAAAGTGGCCAAAATAAAGTGATATTAAGAGAAATCGACATAAAATCAATGATAATAAAAGAATTGAATTGCATAGATTATATAGCAGGAAAAACGGTGCATCAAAAAAACATGATAATAACCGAAAAGTGACATTAACAGACGTGATATTAGGTGAAATGTACTGTAGTAACAAATTTACTCCTTTCCCCTTGCAGCACAAAAGTGACAAATACAAGAGAAGGAAAGGCAAAAAGATATAAATCAGCCACCCCAGTAGCAGCTATCCCATCTTTGCGTATTGCAGAGTTATCTTCCCTTGTGAGCAGGTATTGATTGTTATGTCATTGGTTTGTGAGAGTAATGTCATCAATTTTTGAGNAAGTGGCCAAAATAAAGTGATATTAAGAGAAATCGACATAAAATCAATGATAATAAAAGAATTGAATTGCATAGATTATATAGCAGGAAAAACGGTGCATCAAAAAAACATGATAATAACCGAAAAGTGACATTAACAGACGTGATATTAGGTGAAATGTACTGTAGTAACAAATTTACTCCTTTCCCCTTGCAGCACAAAAGTGACAAATACAAGAGAAGGAAAGGCAAAAAGATATAAATCAGCCACCCCAGTAGCAGCTATCCCATCTTTGCGTATTGCAGAGTTATCTTCCCTTGTGAGCAGGTATTGATTGTTATGTCATTGGTTTGTGAGAGTAATGTCATCAATGTTTGAGACAATGTAATTTTCTCACACAAACCAAAGACGTAACAATCAATACCTGCTCACAAGAGAAGATAACTCTGCAATATACAAAGACGGAATAGTTATATCTAAGGTATTCTTCAAAGGGTGATAACTTCCATACCCATATTTTTCTTCGGAAGTTCAACAAACTCGGTATGCGGGAGGGGTTCGTTTTTAGAGTCCTGAAAAGAGAAAAATAATTTCAAAAATTAACCTGGCCATCTGTTAAAGACACATTCAGTATTTAACAGTCTATTTAAAAATCTCAGTGACCTTGACTCCATATGTAAGCGGAACCTCTATAATACAGACTAGACTTGAATACTCATTCCTACTCATTTAACCCTTTCACCACTGTAGACCATAATGGACTCATCCAGATCAATGCATGGTAGATTCTACTAAAGTAACATGGGGCTGAAAGGGTTAATCCATGTAACTGAAATAATCTGAGATGAATATCACAGTTGCGGAAAAGTCATTACAGAATTGATTTTTCTTATTTTTATTTAAAATGAATGAGGTTTCATTACAGAGAAAAATGTATAAGCTGCATGAGATCTTTAAAGACACAGTAAATTAAATGCATCAGACTTTTTGTGAAAATGTGTTTTGGGTTCTCATATGATATCAGTGCCCACGCTGATAAACACTTATATACATGTACATGTAGTAGTGTTTGTAGCCTCATGTTCAGCAAATTGAGAATCTTCCCCCACGGGATTGAGATTCCCCTATAGCTATTCTATCAACAGGTTCAATTTGTTCCGTAAGTTACACATTTATTTTACATACGTAGAAGTAGGAAAAATATAGTGTCTGTTTCACTCATTTTTTCTTACTTTCACAAAAGAACTTACAAATGGTTGTGCCATGGCATACGTTGCACCTTCAATCTTGAAGGAGAAGCTCTGGAAATTTAAGTAAGTTGTCCTTCCACCCGCTCTGTTCACCATGCAGGTGACTTGGTGTTCAGTCTGTTTAGCAGGTTGAAGAATTCCTATCTCCCAGTCCTAGTACAGGAAAAAAAATACTTTTAATATCAAGATGTGTACAGAACCCCTTAAGGTTATAGGAGTGTATTGCTAAACGGAAATAGGAAATACATCCCTAGTTGAAAATCCAACGTAGGGAGACAGTATCACAATTTCCGCAAATTCTAATATTTAATATTAAACTGATGAATATTGTATGTTTATTATTGACAGAACAGTGTGTTCTTTCAATATTAAAGTATTTCAAAGCAATCCAGGCATTTATTCAGTTGTTTTTTTAATCTATGAGTCACATGTGTCCATTTTTCTGTACTTCAGGAAACCGGCTACCTATTTCACTACTGTGATTTTTTTCAAGAACGATAACTCTTCCATGCAATTACTATGTGTATATGGTTTTATTACAAAAATGTCAATTTTTAATCATTTATAGATAATTCATTTTACACAATTTCAGCATTTATGAAATTGATATACATTAATGCAATACTAATCTATATCAGTATCATTTTTATTGACATTATATTGCAAAAAATTGTGCGTTTCATTTTTTTCTTCAAAATTCACTCCTTTTTACATAAATTTCCTTTTAAAATCCTTAAAATTCTGACAACTTATATTTTTTTTGTGGCAGAAAGTTTTCTTTTCTTCAAAGCAATATAAATACAAAATTTGAAGAAATTCTACTGAGAAATGGCGACACAATCCCATTACCTTAATCAAACATTCTCCTTCTAGTAGGTATCATCTTTTATATACAATGTGTTTTATATCTGATTTCTTAACATTGATTAAAGACCTACCTGCAACAGAATTATGTAACTAAACCAGACAAGTTTTGATTTTTAACCCTTTCACCATTGTGGACCATAATGGACTCATCCATATCAATGCATTGTAGAGTCTACTAAAGTTACTTAGGGGTGAAAGGGTTAAACTTTTTTCATATTCTGTGTATTTGGACTTTAATTCTTTTCTAAATTCTAAGAATATTCACATGTCATTCATAATATATCAAATGTATGCCGTTTACATATGTATTTGGTATTCACACTTGAACCAGTAATTGTCTTATCTGAATTTATTTCCACAACAAAATATAAAACTTGATAATGAATATAAAACTTCAGAGTGTTGGTAAAGTTATTGTGGTATTGATAAAATACACGTACCTCATTGGTTCCTCCCATGGCCTGGTAGGCAAATGTGCACTTGATGTCATTCTTCGTAAATACAAGATAGAATGTGATTTATATTACATGTACATGGACTCAGAATGAGATGATAAACATACATCATACATATTTAATATTGACAGCCAAATCATCAGAACTTTTCCTTGGTACATGTGTAAACACATTTCAATATTAACCCTTTCACCCCTAAGTAACTTTAGTAGACTCTACAATGCATTAATCTGGATGAGTCCATTATGGTCCACAGTGGTGAAAGGGTTAATATAAAAAATATTAACTGCATTCTGCAATCAACATGTCAAGATTTTGTTTACATGTGAACAACACTTAAGCCATTCAAATGAAAAAGAGTCACTGTTAATACAGCACTAGTATAATAGTTGGAGAAGATCATATAATCCTGTATTGAGAAATAAACTCAATTAAACTAAACTAATGCATAATATTGGAGAAACCAATGAAAGCATTAACAAAAGGACCAAACAACAGGATAAGTCTATATACCGGTCTTCACAGTCTGTGGGATGGGATAATAAATGGTGGCCTGTGTTAGAACTGTCCAACCTCACACAGAAAAGATACCTCCCTTCAGAGTTTTTCGAAAAAGAGTAGGCGTGATAGCGTGACCCAGAGGATAGGGTTAGATTTATTTTTGGTCGTTAAAACTAGACTCTCTTTATTAGACATTTAGAAGGACTTCCAAAGTATATATACCAAACAAAACTTTATAGAATAGTCAGGGGCTGGTGTGACTGGCGGTGGCTCGGTACCTGACTTCTGTCCAGAATTGATGCTGCTATACAACTAGTATTAGGTTATGGCAACATTAGGCCTAGAAGTAGTCTTACAAAAATGAGATTTATATATTATAATTAATACATAAATAGGATAGACGGCTCCTTCTATCCTCTGTCTCCCTCTCCTATCCCTTCACTCCATATTTTATCCCTTCTACTCATTTTCCAGTCTTTATTTCGTCTGCTGGATAACCGAACTAATTCGGTAGTGAAGCGGATGTAAAACCAATCAATCAATCAATCAACATTATACACTAATCATTATATGTAGTGGAAATGGACTGACTCACAAATCCCAGTCTGGCCATTTCATTTCTCTTTCTCCTGTTACAGAATTGGTGAGCCTAGCAACCCTTGTTTCAAGCACTGGGAGAATGCTAATTCAAATTGGCAAGGGGATATCCTAATCTGGGTTATAAAGATTGACTTATAAAATGGAACGAAGCGGAACTGGACTGGGTCGATCTTCGGCAACCTGATAGCTCTATTGCTAGAGCGTCTGTCTATAGCTCGAGTTTGTAGGGTCCTGGGTTCGAAATCCAGTCTGATCATTGCATTTCTCTTTCTCCTGTTACAGAATTGGTTAGCCTGGTAACCTAGTTTTGAGCACTGGGAGCTAGCTATAATGCTAATTGGCAAGGGGATACCCGAATCTTGGTTGCAAACACTTATAAATCGGAGGACGGATTAAAGCGGAAGTGACTGGACTAGGTCGATCATCGGCGACCAAGAAGCTCAATTGCAATTGGTATATGCGGCCGTCTAGACTTCGGAGGGACCCTGGTTCGATCACCGGTCTGGCTGCCTGCTTGTAATTTTCTCCTCCTAATAATATTACACAGAGAAAGTTCTGTTTGTTAAGGAGTTAAAGAGATGTCCAGACAAAATTTTATGCATGATCAGACAGATGGAGAAACCACATAAAGTTCGGCAGGTGAGTTAGGTGACCCATACCCCCCCAAATTCCTGTGCTTACATGCATGATGGGTCACTTAATTTAAGTTAGAGGGAAAACGTTTGGGGAGGGGGTCATGTCACATGTGCATTGTACAGTCCTTCTTATAATACTAAATAAAGTAAATATGATTTGTTTTTATGCAGAGACGTGTAGGTGTCCCTTCCCTATATTTATGTCTCTGTGGTTATGAACTAAACTACTAAGATTTCGTCTACATATTTAGAACATACTAGTATTACAAGCAAGTATGTCAAGAACCTTCATTTTAGGTGACATCGGATACACCACTGTCACCAGCTGTTTATTCCTTACCCATACGATTTCTGTCGATTTCACTGAGGGATCGGGTTTGATGTTGAACTGTCGTGAGGCCATAAGTTCACCATCATCGCAAAATACTGATGAAACAATGATAAGTAAACATATTAGGCACTTCATGCTTCTTCCGAACAGAATGTCAACCTCAACGTGGTATAGGCCTATGTTGGTCCAATAGAAGTTTGCAACACGGACCAATCAAATAGCGACATTCTCTGGTTGAAAGGTCATGGGTCATGAGGACACGAAAGTGATCAGCCAATCAGAATTCCTCAGTTATCACGGGCTAAGTTCATTCGGCACACCTCGGCAGATCTCATGAAAGGTACTGGAATCGGCCGAGGTTTGCCGAATGGGGCTAAGTTCACAGTTCAGTCACTTTCCAAGATGGCAGCGCCCTTACGGTTTGACGGGAAAGTGGTCCTGGTGACAGGTGCCGGGAATGGTAAGTTCCCAGTTGATTTTGTATTTTAGCAGTGAAACCATTACATGATGTTTGACGACATACGATTTACATTTCAACAGACACATATGAGGTGTCCCAATCTAGGCTATAGCCTCGATCCCCTCAGAATCAGGACGCGGATCACAGGACAGCAGGATCCTAGTGATAGTGATCCGAAGAGTAGGAGTCCACTGTCCACGGCATAAACAAGTGGGACGAGCGACACGTCAGATCACTTTTCCTGATTTTAACTACAACAATCGATATCTGTGATGGTGTTTGTGCATCATTGACGATTGGATGCTATATACATTTGTTTAGAAAATTTTCGATGCGACATCATTCCGACATTCGGCGCACACCAGACTGACCTAAGGGTTTGGACAAAGTCCATCCTCTGATATTTCTTAACCGTCAGCGGCCATGTTTTCGAACGCATCGAAGCTATTACCGTTAAGAAAATGTAGGTTGTATGCATGCGTTCCCCCGTTAGCTTCTTTGGTTTTTGCTGTGCATTTGTTTTTTCCAATTTTGCAGGTATCAGGTAATTTAGTCGGGTCATAAACTAGGACGATATTAGCTTGATCAATATTGCAATGTTTATGAGCAACAAAGTAAGGTTAGACCTCACACTTGCTTCTGCATTATATTATTGTTAAAATAAAATTATGTGTAACAGGAAAAAGAGAAATTCAATAGCCAGAACGGGGTTCAAACACGGGACCCCCCTAAACTACCCTCCAAACTCTAGGCAGACGCTCCCAATCCAGCAACACCTGGTCACCAATGATCGACCCAGTCCAGTTCCGCTTCATTCCCCCCTCCTTTTTCTAAGTCTCTCCACCGAAGAAATCACTATTTATAATTCAGGATGCAAACGTTCCCCCAGTGCCAATTTTGTAACAGAAGACAGAGAAATTAGTAACAACCAGACCAGGGTTTCGAACTGGGGACCCTCCAAACTCTTGTTGCCAACAATTGTACCAGTCCAGTTCAGCTATATTTAAAATACAAATCGGTTAATCTTCACATGTATATCCCTGTCAAAGTCATTATATAGCTCTTTTAAATACATTTACAGGTACGCACTTCACTTATATCAACAGTATCGGTCACCATTGTGATTTACATTTTGTTTATGGCCTTGCAAACATTTGATGAATTCACAAATTTTGAATGCAGCATTCAGCATATATATGGAAAAGATCTGTTCATGTGTTTATGCCTTGCTAGCTTTGATCACAAAGTGATACACTGTTATCTCTGTCAAACAACTCTACGCAATCAGAGAATTAATTTAGATCTAAAATTATTAGTCTGTGGTGTGAGCTTCAGGCTATTCACTCTTGTAACAATTTTAAATCAATCCCCAGTGGTGGCAAAGGAAAAGGAGTGATGTCTGATTGTTGTTATATCCCTCCATTGGCATGTTGGTTTTCCTCTACCTAAGAAGATAAAAAAAAAAACATTTGTTCCCTTGAAAGCAATATATTCAAATTTGTAATAGATGCTACAATCTTAGTATGTGCATTATCATAGTCTACAGTATGCTGTATCAAGGGTTAATAAATGGGACACATTTATCAGTAAAGTAACTTGTTAAACTTGCTGTAAGTATGAGGTCAGCTATCATCAATGGGTTATCATATTTAAGATATATATGGTAGTAAAGTACAATGTATGATGTGTGTGCTAATCGGCTCTGATTTACTTACAGGTCTGGGGAGGCAGTATGCCTTGGACTTCGCAGAACGTGGAGCTTCAGTTGTTGGTAAAAGATTTATTTAAAACGTTTACATTCCCACCTGAAGAAAGATAAATATTTATAAACTGGTTACTTTAATTATTTAAATATTCTTCCAAAATGAAGGAAAATCTTCCCATTTTTTAATAAAAAATATTTAAAGATATTTGAAAGACCTAAAAATATGGTAAGTTTATTTTTGTAATTTCTTAAATTAGCTCTTCCTCTAAAAAAATATTAGAAAAGAAAAAAAATCTTACCAACCTTCAGTATTTTTTCAGTCATATTGCCTGAAACATAAATAAAAAAAATGTTTGCCAAAGTGATTTTTGTAGGATTTTTTTCAGGCATTGTAAATTAGTAACAACCAACTTTTTCAAAATTTTGATAGTCCCATTACTGAGATTGTCTCTTAGTACAGTGTATTGGGACTCATGAAAAAATTATATCTGATATAGTGGATCCTCAAAAACTTGGCGTGCCCCACAAGAAAAGGATGATCCCATGGAGGACTCAAATACAGGAGTTCCCAAAATCTTTCTTGATATATTAATTTAGATGCATCCAAGGATATCTTGATCAGCAGTTACTATAAAATGGTCAGACCATGAATTATACTGATACACATTAACCCATTCACCCCTAAACTTGCATTTGACCATTACCAAATCAGAGACTGGGCAAGTCCAGATTAAACATGTAGGTGTGAATGAGTAAACAGATATCAAAAGTTGGTTTTACGGAAATCACCATTTAAAGACTGATATGTGTTTCTTGGTCAGGTAAAAAAAACCTCTCATGATTTGAATCTTTTTTCTTTTGAACCTTTGATTTAGTTAAGTCTATATGGTAGTTTTTACCTAAGTTTCATCTAGCCCCGACACCAGACTTAGACATTTTGACAGATAAATGTTTGGTGTTGGAGAGACATCCATCTGTCAAAATGTCCAAGTCTGGTGTCGGGGATAGAGGAAACTCAGGCTAGTTAGCTTTGTGTTTAAAGATTTAGACTTTTGTGATATTAAGTTATCCTTCATTTTGTTTCAGTGAACGACCTTGGCGGAAACTTTAAGGGCGAAGGGGCAGGAACCAGAGCTGCTGATGTTGTGGTCAACGAAATCAAGGCTAAGGGTGGAAAGGCTGTGGCTAACTATAGTAATATCTCACTTCATCTTTGGTAGTCTGAATGAAGAAGAATTTATAACTTACTATTTACTTGGTAAAAAAATGAAAATCAAAAGTCTACCAGGGATATGTAGCTGTATTCGAGAAGTAGTGTAAAATTTACTTATTATTGGACATGTCATGAAAAGCAATATTTTAGATAAATTTAAAAAAACAACCCACCAGTTTCTGTAATTTATGAATAGACACCACAAATAACTTCACTATAAAGAGAAAATATTGTATAATGATCAAAATTTTAATGTCACTTTGGGCAATTGGATTTTTTTTGTCTTGTTTAGTCATCACACAACATTTTCAATGCTTTCATATCTGATAACAAATAATTCATGCTTGAATGATGTATGTGATTGTGTCCCGTCTTTTTGTTCTAAACTTTTTGTAAGTGTGTTGTACATATTTATTTCATATATTTTGATTTGTGCAACTGTAAGAAAATTTAAACTGTTTTTTTTTCAGATTCTGTAGAAGAAGGAGAAAAAGTAGTGCAAACTGCTTTAGAGAACTTTGGAAGGATAGGTAATACATGTTCGTTTATCAAGTAGACAATGTATTCGAAAATTTCTTTAAATATTTCTTTTGTTCAAATTTGCATCAGTATTAAATCATTGTTAACATATTGCTTCCCTGAAAGGATTGACTCTGTGAATAATTTTCATATCACTATAGTATATACAACTATTTTTTCTACATGATTGTGAATCTCGTATTTGTTTTATTGGTTGATTATCAGCTGTCCATTACTAATGTTACATTCGTATTAAAGATCACTTATTGTTAACACATCCGATGTTTCCACTGAATTAAATGCTTAAAATATGGTAGAAAATATATAATCTACGAAGCAACAATCTAACTCCAGTATAAATCTGATAATCGTTTGGTGTGGGGAATTTATATTCTGTGAGATAAGTACTTTTGAGATTATCAGGACAGATGATCCAAAATTATATGTATTTTAGTATTTGTTCCTTCCATGATCTACAGTATGAGGTGTGTGTGTAAATCACACGAGCAGCTAAATAGGGAAAAAATATTATCATGAAAATTAATTGATTTTTCCGCACATGAACTGATGTGTTAACGTGACTGTGATTTATTCTGTCAGATGTCGTCATCAATAATGCTGGTATCCTGCGGGACAGGTCCTTCGCGAGGATCAGCGACACAGATTGGGGTGAGTAGGGGAATACAAGAGAAAATCATTATAGATGTCATTATTTGTACTTGCAACTTCAAACAAGCTTTTCAAAATTGTAAGGAAGCAACATTCTCTTTATGGAAGATGGGCAATTGCGAGAACATTATCAACATTTGATATCTAATAACTTTACATGATCATCTTTAATATTATCTGAACTTCACTATTAAAATATACAATAGAGTGATGTGAAAAATAATGTATCTTAATAAATTAATTGCGAAGAAATGGTTGATCGTCGTTATTAAAAGGAGATGCACTATCTTAACCTATAGGGCATCATGTAAGCTATAATGCATCATGTAAGCTATAAGGCATCAAGTAAGCTAAAGGGCATCATGTAAGCTAAAGGGCATCATGTAAGCTATAGGGCATCATGTAAGCTATAATGCATCATGTAAGCTATAAGGCATCAAGTAAACTATAAGGCATAAAGGAAGCTATAAGGCATAAAGGAAGCTATAAAACATCAAGTAAGCTATAAGGCATCCTGTAAGTTATAAGGCATCATGTAAGCTATAAGGCATCATGTAACCTATAGGGCATCATGTAACCTATAGTGCATCATGTAACCTGTAGGGCATCATGTAACCTATAGGGCATCATGTAACCTAAAAGGCATCATGTAAGCTATAGGGCATCATGTGAACTATAGGGCATCATGTAAGCTATAAGGCATCTTTTTATAGCATCATGTAAGCTATAAGGCATCATGTAACCAGTAAGTAACACATTATTAAAGCGAACTATTTGAATACCTGACCTAGATCTGGATAATAGAAAGTTAAGAGGATTGAGTTCCAAACAATCAGCACTTTACTGAATTACAGAATGTGATATTTAGTTGAATAATGAGAAAGGAAGTAAATTGAAAGTCAAGAGTTATTCATAAAATTTCAGTTAAAAAAAACAAGATATGTATCTGTGTTGTCATACAGGGAGTCACAACTTAGTTTTGACTCTTTTTCAGACCTCATCCACAGAGTTCACTTGAGAGGTGCTTTCCAAGTCACCCGGGCTGCATGGCCACATATGAAGAAACAGAACTATGGCAGGTTCGTCCTAGTTCTCCATTAATCCCAATTAATAGGGTTCAACAATTCATTATTTCTTTGTTTGGCAAGCTTGTAACGTTTGTTACTTTATAGTGTCACAGTTTAGTCAATATAATGTCAAATATACTATATACATATTTCAGTAGTAATCCTATTTAATATCTATTGTTATCAGTTAAAGTGTAATTGATGGGAATGTTGTTATAATTTTAAATTTCAAAATTATTTGAGTGTTGCTTTTGAGCTGACAGTAGCCTTGGAATTGATTTAGAAATGAAAAGTGTGTTTTTGTTTTTTTTCATAGATAAAATGTCGATGATTATAGAAAAAATATGTTCAAAGAAATTTCTTGTGATTTTGTAGAATAATTAACGTAACATCAGCCTCAGGCATCTATGGAAGCTTCGGACAAGCCAACTACAGTGCTGGTAGGTATCCGCTGTGATTGGTGGAAGAGATGTACTTAAAATCAAAGTAAACACTATTGATGGAGCCCTGGTTCAGTTAAGAAGAAATGTTTAGAGTTGAATTCCAATGAAAGTCAAACACAACTCTATAGTGTAAAGTTGGTATTATTTGCGGGGGATTAAATTTCATAATTTTTACAGTCATCAAAGGTTGTGAAAAAATACCCTGTAAATATTTTTACTGAGAATTAAATTTGTTGTAACAGTATACAGACACGCAAAAAATGTATAGATGTGTTAACTCATTTACTACTTTTGTTATGAAACAATTCAAGTAAAAACAGCTTACATTCCAACGTACACGCTTTAATGAGGATCCCGTATCGGAGATACAGGTGCCCTATAGTATTCACTCTGTGTGTCGGTCTGTCCGTCCACAAATTTGGTACCTGGCTGATAACTTTGGTATTTATTTACCGATGTACATGAAACTTGGTCAAGATGTTCAGTTCACAAAAATACACATTGAGGTAAAAAGTCAAGGTCAAAGGTCAAGGTCATTAGGTTCAAAGGTCAAGGTCAAATTTTGCATCTTTTCACTGATGAACATTTTGTTACGACATGATGAAGCAAAGTTGATCTGAATTAAACAAGGAGTAAACCTAACCAAATGTCAAGGTCATTGGGTCAAAGGTCAAGGTAAAATTTTGTATCTTTTCACTGGTGAACATTTTGGTATGACACTTTGAAGCAATGTTGCTCGGAATTAAACAAGGAGTCAATTGACCAAAGGTCACTGGCACGGGCCAAGGTGAAGGTTAAACTTTGTATCTTTTCCCTGATGAAAATTTTGTTATGACATTATGCAGCAATGTTGGTCAAAATTAAACAAGGAGTAAATTGACCAAAGGGCAAGGTCACTGGGTCAAAGGTCAAGGTCAATTTTTGTATCTTTTCACTCATGAACATTTTGTTATGACATCATGGAGCAAAGTTGGTCTGCATTTAAAAAGGAGTCAACTGACTTAAGGTCAAGATCATGTGGTCAATGTCAAAGTCAATTATTGTTTAATTTTGTATCTTTTCACTGGTGAACATTTTGGTATGACACTTTGAAGCAATGTTACTCAGAATTAAACAAGGAGTCAATTGACCAAAGGTCACTGGCATGGGTCAAGGTAAAGGTTAAATTTTGTATCTTTTCCCTGATGAACATTTTGTTATGACATTATGCAGCAATGTTGGTCAGAATTAAACAAGGAGTCAATTGACCAAAGGGCAAGGTCAATGGGTTAAAGGTCAAGGTCAATTTTTGTATCTTTTCACTCATGAACATTTTGTTATGACATTATGGAGCAAAGTTGGTCCGAATTTAAAAAGAAGTCAACTGACTTAAGGTCAAGATCATGTGGTCAATGTCAAAGTCAATTATTGTATCTTTTTACTAATTAACTTTTTTTTATGTAATTATGAAGCAAACTTGTTCAGAACTTAACACAGAGTCAACTGACCTTAGGTCCAGGTTACGGGGTCCAAAGGGTCAAGGTCAAGTTTTGTATTTTTCACTGATAAACATTTTGTTATGATATTATGAAGCAAAGTTGGTCGGAATTAAAGAGCAAGTCAACTGACCAAAGATAAGGGTCACTGGGTTAATGGTCAAGGTCATTTGGGTCCAAAGGTCAAAGACAAAGTGGATCTCTGACTTTGACCTTGGCTCTTGATGGAGGAGGTATATAAGGTGAAATAAAACAAATCAAAGCTAACAAATGAGTATCGCACCGGTATTTACATTTCTGTTAGCCCAGCAAATATGGAGGTGGAAGGAAACAAGACTCGCATCATAGAACATGTAAAATGTATATTTTGCTTCCTTGCGATTCTTTTTGAAGTCCAAATGTCAAACGTCAAGCTCAGCTATATGGGTAGATTGCTTCTTGATGACTATGGGGGTGATATATTGCCACAATCGGGGCCCTTACTGACCTGTCAGTGTTCTAGTTGAAACCACAAAACACTTGTAAATGGGGGCTGTCCATGACTCAATGGCTGTCCCATGTTTTAATATCTTATTTTAATACTTTAAGACCAAAGTAACCTCGTACCTGTATTAGAAGTAGCTAGTGACCACAACATTCGGATTAAGTGTTGTGGCCAAAAATGTCATCCCCACAAATAGATCCGATTGAGACATCTCTGAATTTATTCAATTATACAGAAATTTTGTATGATGCTTATATTTTGAATCTGGACACCAGAAAGGATATTTATCAGTTATCTTTAAAAAAAATGTATCCTCATAGACTGTATTAAATGTGTAAAAGCCATTGTTATAAAAATCATTAAACCAATTTATTAAAAAAAATTATGAAAGATTTTTTCGAAATTCAGGCATGTACATATATGTACAATATGATGTATCAGTAAAACACACTATTCTAAACTGAGCCAAGATATGAAGTTATTTTATGATATCTGTATTATCAGGTGAGTAATATCTTACAGTAGCAAGATTGTATTCATATACTTTTGTCACTGTGTATATATTTATAGCTGCTTATCGTTCCCTACCCTTTGTGTTTTTCTTGTAAATTGACAAATTTTAGCTATGACATGTAGATTTTGTTAAACCACATGTTGCTATGGTAATGTTGTGATAGGGTGGCATAGTTGATAGTGCACTTGTCTTTCACCAAGACGCCCAGGGTTCGACTCCCCGGTAGGTCGTGAAAAGGTATGGGGTCACCTGCCCGAATACATGGGTTTTCTCGGGGTGCACCAGTTACCTTCCATATTAAGACCCACCATGTGCTAACATCCAGGCCAACAAGAGTGATTGATATACGTTGAACTAACTTGTTTCATTAATGTTGTAAAATAAATCAAGCTATTATATAATATTGTGATATACTTTTGATAAGTGAGGTTTTGTTTGCAGCTAAACTGGGAGTACTTGGTCTAAGCAACACCCTGACCATTGAGGGAAAGAAGAACAACATCAAGTGTAATACCATCGCACCCATAGCAGGCTCTCGTATGACGGAAACAGTTATGCCTCCAGGTAGTGTATATATGATGTATCAGTCTAGCGTAATCTTGTTGATAAGATATTATAGATTCATCTGTATGTAAAAGGACAAACCTGCTTTTCACATAATTTTAAAACAAAAGATCAAATACTTTTGAGATTCCTGAATTTTTCACTTGAAAAGGCGAAAATAGGACAAATTTTCTAAATATGTTTTACAGTGTCCTGGGTAATTATCACTGCAGTATAACTTGCGCCTTTTTGCCCTCCGTAATGAGGGCAAATTTATTACCAGAGTGAACATTAGTAAACAACATATTAAACATAGTGATCAAATGTGTAGGGCGAAATTAACTCTGGACGAACACAGATTTGATCTGGGTAGGACAGAAGTTTGACTGGGTAAAAGTCTCCCGCTAACAGTATCACTTTCAACGATTGAACATAAATCTGGTGTTCTGATGAATACATGTGGCGTTTCCTGTGTTGAACAGATATGGTGGCTGCCCTGAAACCGGAGTTTGTGTCACCCCTGGTTTTGTACCTGACACACGAAGACTGTGAGGAGACCGGTTCACTGTTTGAGGTCGGAGCTGGATGGATAGGAAAATGTAAGCACCAAATATCTTCAAAATAATCTGTATTTATTCTGACATTTAAACTTTTTAATACAGAAAAAAAATCTTGAAATCTTGATTAATCTATCTGCTGTTTTGTTATCCATATTTATCCCGACTTTTAAGATTTTTTCATGTAAAAGAATTCCCAAAAGCATTGCTTATCTGCTGTTTGTTATTTATAATGTAATTATTAAAAAGTTACAAAATGAAACATTTTCTATAATAAGGAGCTTTTTTTATTGCATGATTCATGATTAACAATTTTGATATATGTTACGTATACATCTCGCAATGAACCCAGGTTCTAACGCATGATCTCTCACTTAAGACCAGCCATGACACCAGAGTCTAGTAAGACTTGTAACAAGACATACAAATAGCATTTGTTTGCATTTCAACTTTATATCTGCAGTAGATTTGGACGGGCTTATTAGCAGGCATGGTCTAATTGCCATTTTAAGACAGTATTGAACATTTGACAGCACGTGTAGCACTGAAATATTAGACAGCATAAACTATTTGAATTTGGATATAACCATATTTAACCAAATAAAAGCACAGGGCACTTTATAAGCAGTGTGGGAAAATTAGAATGATTATAGTACCTTTCAAAATTCTCAAAAATACAATTTTTCCTAAAGTTCATTGGCAAAACGTGACGAGGGGAAACCAGAAAATGATAAAAGGGGCGCTGATAAGGGAATGGGGGATTCTTAGATCAAATATGGTAAATCTAAATATTGTTGCAGTCGTTGGACCAGATGTTGCTGCATGTTTCTAAGTATTGTGTTGGTAGTTGACTTAAAAGTAGGAAAGTCTAGTCTACAATGCAATTAGTAATGTCCATTTGGTTGATTTATATTTCAGTACGATGGGAAAGAACAAAAGGTGTGGTTTGCCGATCAAAGAACTCCGCCATGACACCAGAGGCTGGTAAGACTACTGTTTTGTCAGTTGTCAAGGTCCTCACCTATTGCATGCTTCTGTTTAACTATATATAAATATACAGCTGTTGTTTGTCAAAAGAGTGATATGTAATACATATAATATATAATATGTAATTAGTTTTTGTTTCTGCAGTCAGCTCTTGTTTGTTGAATCTTGTCATTTCATTTTTTTTTTATGCATAACTGAATTCTCAACAGAAAAGTAGTTCAAGGTTATAACTGTTTCAAAAAGTAAACTTTTTGGATATACAAGTTCTCATTATTTGCCGTTTGATCATATCATACCGGGTATTGTGCATACAGAATGTAATAAAAAGTGCAAGCTTTCATCATTAGGACATCATAGTTAAGTTTTACATAAAGATAATATAACACCTGTTTAATATTTATTTCTTAGTTTCATGGTGTTCTTTGTGATGTATTCAGTATATGTTCACTGTTAAAATTATTGTCCCAAGACTGGTAACTGTGACATCACTCCTGTTCGTGGGTTTTTGAATTTTTGAACCATTACAAATTTGGACCCCACAAAAATATCTGAGTTCACAGTATGTGACCATCATTCAAAGAAATTAATCTTAGGCCACATCCTACATGTATGCTCCAAAGATTTGATGGTCCATGGAACAAACAAAAAAAGATGTTACTTTAATAACAGTAGTTTTAAAAAATTGTAGAAATTTGGCATCTTTAGGAATGGCTGGCTAATCTGCTGTACATGATTATGTTTTAGTTCGAGATAACTGGGACACTATCACAGACTTCACCGAATCCTTCACGCCCCGCACAAATCAAGGTAAGCAAGTAACTCATCTTTCCTTCGTAACAAGGTGGGCTTGTAATTCACATCTTCCCTTCGTAACAAGGTGGGCTTGTTATTCACATTTTCAAATCAAGGTAAACAATTAACTCGACTTCTGAAATCAGTGTAGCATAGTAATTTCTTTCCTTTCAAATCACGGTAAGCAAGTTACTCACCTTCTCAAACTAAGGCGAAGTATTATTTCATCCTGAGACAAATTTCATTTCTCATTAAAGTTACAGGGGACACTGTGGCCAAGTGGTTGAGGTGTCGGACATCCTTGATACTCCAGGGGTTACGCTCACTTTTGCTCACTTTCGCTCTCTGCAACCCTGGAATAAGTCGAAACAAAATTGAAGGCACATGGCTAGGCATTCGATTGGTCTCAGGTAAAAAAGCCGGACCAATCACTAGGCAGATACTTGTCCTTTGAAGATTACAAAGGAGTGACAACTGACTTCAAAGCCAGCCTATTGTACTGTTACAGGACTGTGAGATTCTTTTGTTGTTCATCAAAAGGATCAAACTGGTCTTCTTGTATCATCCACCAGGTGGTGCACACTAAGCCTTCAATTTTACTATGACATATTTCAGGGGTGCATAGAGCATTAGTGAGCATAACCCCTGGAGTTTCAAGAATGGGTGTCTGACATCTTTGATCCACCGGCCCTCCACCACTGGGTCGCAGGTTCCAGGCCTACATTGGGCAGTCAACAGGTACTGCCCGTAGGTCAGTGGTTTTTCTCTGGGCACTCCAGTTTTCTTCCAGCACCAAAACCTGGAAGGTCTTAAAGGACCATAATAAGAACTGATGCACAAATAAACCAAACCCAAATCTGTTTTATGCTCAAGATAATGATATTGTTTGTTGTTTGAAATTAAATTTACAAAAAAGAAATGAGAGAATAAATTTGTTGTGTTGTTGGAACAGAGTCTACTGGATCAATGTTTGAAGTCTTGAAAAAAATAGACGAGAGCCCAGCAAAGTCGTCACGGGCCAGCTCCAGAGCAGCGTCCTCTGGTAGTGGACCAGATGTTGTAAGTTAGATATCTGTTTAAACAATGTCATGTAATCTAGGATGAAATCAGACTTTAGGGAAATATCTACTTCAGATCTGTAAATATTACATGTATTATTATAATAAATAATTTCTTTATTTGTGATATAATATTATACAATTATGAACTTTTGTTGAGGTGAATATGATGTGATATGAACCTGAAAAAGCAATATTAATCCAGATAAGGTACGCTTGTTTACCATCAGGGCCACCAAAAATGATTAATATAAGTGTATAACTTGCTTTATTATTGTTATTAAATAAAGAAGGCTTAAATTAAAGGTCTGAATATACTTATTCAAACCCTATTAAGACTGTTGATGTAGGTCTTAAATTAAAGGTCTTAATATACTTATTCAAACCCCAGTAAGACTGTTAATGTAGGTGTGGTATGTTTTTTGTTCCTAACCCATTCATTTGTTTCCCAGGAGGCAGCTAAACAATACAAACCCAAGCCAATCAAGTTCACCTACTCGGCGCGGGACGTGATGTTGTATGCTCTTGGAGGTACAATTTATTTCATTGCATAGATATGATTTCAAAAGAAAAAAGTGCAGTCATAAGTTTTTTCTTAGTTAACCGAAAAGTAAAAACAGAACAATTGATCAGAGACACATACACAACACTCCACAAACAAGGTTTGGGGGGGGGGGGGGGGGGGGGATATTACAACCACCCTGTTCGTCTATCTATCTGTTCATCTGTTCAAGAACCTTGTAAGCGCGACTCCTCTCAAACAGTTTGGTGGATTTTTTTTGCTAATTGTTAGAAAAAAATAATTATAATTTAACGCAGTGAAAGTAAACCATATGTTAACGTACTTGAAGAAAGAGATTCCTGTTTCAACGATTTTTCCTAGAGTTATGGCCCTTGAAACTAATTTCTGCTCCAGAAACCTTTTAAGTGCCTCTCCTCCTTAACTGTTTGTTGGAGATTTTTGTAACTTGACACAGTGAAAGTTCATCATGTGTATATGTGCATGAGGGAAAGGATTTGTGATTCAATTAATATACCCCTGCAAACATAGTTTGATTACCTAGGTAAGATGAAGCAGGGGGTATATCTTTGTTATTTGCAAAGTTATTTTTGTCTTCCAGGTAGCATTTTGATAATATTTATCACTATATTTCATACAGTTTAACTGGCTTTTTATCTCAAACTTTAAAAATGTTGAAGGTACGGAACCTAAGATTTCGCTTTTTTCTATGTAGTTGGTTCCTCCACCAGAGCAGCAGACTACCTGAATTTCTTGTATGAGGGGGCCGAGGACTTTGGAGTTATTCCCAGCTTTGCTGTTATCCCAGCACAGATGGGAATGGAGAATGTTATAACTCAGGGCATTCCTGGCATGGACATCAACCCAGCCAAGGTTGGTTAACTATGGATCTGCAGCTACAAAGTACTAAATCATCATAACCTGGGGGGGAGGGAGGGCAGTGCATGGTTTTCAGATACTTTTCACATGTCTTCAAAACCATGATTGCAATGATTAAAGCCAAATTTCTGTACATTCCTGTCTGAAGTGTAATAAATAATACCAAGCTATAATATTCCTGTTGGTGATGCTGGAATGTGTTAATTGGATGTGTCGGTTTCTGTAGATCCTACACGGTGAGCAGTATGTGGAGCTGTACAAGCCTCTGCCTACAAGTGGAACCCTGACCTCACAGGTCAGCATCGCCGACATCCTTGACAAAGGATCTGGAGCCGTCATCCTCATCAACAGTAAGTATTCATGACAACCTGGTCCAGGGGTCAGGGGCCGTCATTCTCGTCAAAAGTAAGTATCCATGAAAACCTGATCATAGGATCTTGGTGCCATCATCTTCATCAACATTAAGCGTCCATGTCGTAGAATGGTCTGGGGCTATTGTACTAAAAAAACATAAGGTATCCATGGCGACATAGACATGGGGTCTCGGGTTATTATACTCGTCAACACTAGAAATAGTATCCTTGACAACCTTGACAAAAGGTCTGGAGAATCCTCAACAACATTAGGTTTCCATGACGACATAGACTCAGGCTATCATACTGATCAATAGTGGAGCTAGTATCCATGATAACCTTGACAAAAGGTCTGGAGAATCCTCAACAACATTGGGTATCCATGACGACATAGACTCAGGCTATCATACTGATCAACAGTGGAGTTAGTATCCATGATAACCTTGACAAAAGGTCTGGAGAATCCTCTACAACATTGGGTATCCATGACAACATAGACTCAGGCTATCATACTGATCAATAGTGGAGTTAGTATCCATGATAACCTTAACAAAAGGTCTGGAGAATCCTCAACAACATAAGGTTTCCATGACAACATAGACTCGGGCTATCATACTGATCAACAGTGGAGTTAGTATCCATGATAACCTTGACAAAAGGTTGTGGGAATCCTCAACATTGGGTATCCATGACGACATAGACATGGGGTCTGGGGCTATCCTCCCCATCAACAGCAGTTTCCATGACAACAGAGACAAAGGGTTTGCGGTCATTATCCTCATCAATACTTTGATAATACCAGAGCTACCAAAATGGTATATTAAGGCAATATCAATAACAGGTGTAGTGATATATTTAAAATAGTTCGAAAATAATTAAATCAGTACATGATTTTAATATGAAGTGTAAAGTATTTATTTATCATTTAGTAAGTTACACATTTTTATTCAATAGTAAAGGACTTTCAATAAAAAACTGACTACGGATATTCTAATAGTATAACTAAATAAAATTATGATATCTAAAGCTTATGGTGATTAACAGAATCTTCCCCTACCCTGAGGGGTGATGTTTTTTGGTTGTCTAACCCGAGGCTCTGCCGAGGGTTAGACAAAGAGCCTCAAATTTCGGCTAGACAACCAAAAAAGTCACCAGGGTTGGAGATTTTTCTGTCACACCCTCAGGATAGGGGAAGATTCTGTTAATCACCATAAGCTTTAGATATCATAATTTTATTTAGTTATACTATTAGAATATCAGTAGTCAGTTTTTTATTGAAAGTCCTTTACTATTGAATTAAAATGTGTAACTTACTAAATGATTAATAAATACTTTACACTTCATATTAAAATCCTGTACTGATTTTATTATTTTTCTTCCATCCTATTATTTAAGTCACAACTCCACCGACATTAGGGTAAACAAAATCACATGTAGGGTATGAATATCGTCATTCACTTTTGATTAAGTCACAATTACCGGTGATGCATTTTAATGACGTCACAATTGAACACGTGCTAATCGGCACAAAGTTATCTCCCCTTAGGGGGTGACAAGCTGATCTTTTCCGGCTCAAAACAGGAGACACCTGTGAAGGGTTGGAGAAATTAATATCTTGGTGTGTGGTAATCTTATTTACATTGTGTAAGGACTTAAAATGTTTTCTGAAGGCTTATATTAATGTTAAGCAATGGACCTTTTACAGTTGAGACCTTTGACGAGAAGAAAGAAAAAGTCTGTTTCAATCAGTTTAACATATTTGCTGTTGGATACGGAAAGTTTGGTGGAAGCAGAAATTCAGAGGCAGCTAAAGCTCCGGGAAAAGCACCATCGCGGAAACCAGACTCATTTCTGGTGGAGACTACCAGCGTGGATCAGGTACGATCTTTACTTGTACATCTATGTATATGAGGCAAGGAAGGAAGGAGGTTGTCTAATTTTTGGAGCAATCTGTTCCTTTATCGAAGCAGAGAAAAACACAGAACACTTACATTAGATAAATACAAAATAGAAATATTATAGTATATAACAAATATTTACCGGAAGCAAATTGTCGGAACGTTTGACAACCACCTATTGTCTACACGTTGGAATGACTTCCTTGACCCATATACTAATTTAAAGCAATTTGTATCAAGATCAGTCCTACACAACAAATAAATTCATCAGTGTAATGATATTGGGGATCACAACGTAACCAAGTATTCATACTATTAGCCATGTAGGCAATAATAAGTAAACTTACACATAAACTTAAACAGAACAAAGAAATGTATACAGTTGAAGTACTGGATAAGTGAGAAAGCCTTTGTCAGAATTTCTTTGTCCTGCTCAGGTTTTTGTACAGCTGACACAAGTCATCTCGCATGAAATGTCTTGATGGTGTGAATCTTGAAATAAAACCCCCATGAAAAAGTTCCAGAAACAGGATCGCGAAATTCAACAACTATACAGTAATGATTTGACTAATTTTTGTTAGTAGTTTTTTACAGGAGATTAAATCAATTATAATTTCTGGAGTTTTTATGGGACAATTTTACAATTATAATAAAATGCGGTGTAGATTATGAAAAACTGAGAAAAGGTGTTTTTTCCGAAGCTCACAGTAATATTTAAAAGGGCATGGTCAAAGTAAACATTAATTCAGTTTCTTACAAAATTTCATAACATCCATTATGACTGTAATTTGTTGTGATATAGAGAATAAAAAATAAGATTCCTTACTGTTACATTTTTGTGAACAAAGTAAAAATGAATTTGAATAATAAAACATAAGTATACTGTTATGAAATCAAATTGATGTAATTTTGTGATTACAGGCAGCCCTTTATCGTCTGTCTGGAGACAGGAACCCCCTACATATCGACCCCAGCTTCGCTGCAATGGGAGGTAATCATCTTTGTCAAAGCTTCATATTAAATTATTTTTTTATCTATAAGACAGGTAGCACTAATTCTTGAATTGAGAATCTGCTAAAATTAACAGGTATTGGTTACATTGTATTACAATATTGTAAATTTGTGTCTGTTTCATTGTTTTTAGTGTTACCTGTATATTTCAATTAGATCATAAGACTTTGAATATTAAATTGGTAATTTTTGTTTTCAGGTTTTAACAAACCAATTCTGCATGGTCTGTGTAGTTTTGGTTATGCTACTCGCCATGTACTGAAACAGTATGGAAACAATGATGTCACCAAGGTCAAGGCTATCAAGGTAAAGGTCAAAGGTCATATATATCACTCATATTGTAATGAAATGTTTATTGTTATGATTAAATATTTTGTTAATATTCCCAACAAAATAAAGGACAGCAAGCTTATTTTGGCCTTAGGGAAAAGGACTTCAGAATACATCCAGCTCTTCATCAGCTCAAAAAGGGACCAATATCTAGTTTCACAAAAAATAACTAAAATCAGGTTTCATAAAAATTGATATGACATCGTGCAAGTAATAATTATAATACTTTATTTGAGTTTATCCAATCTAGCAGTAGGTAGACAATATAACATGTACATGTGTATGTGTGAAAATGAGAAATTCTGACAATGTAATGATACAATGCTACATTTTATAGGCAAGATTTGCCAAACCAGTGCTTCCAGGCCAGACCATTCACACAGACATGTGGCAGGAGGGCAACAGGGTCATGTTCCAGTGTAAGGTAAGGGTCAAAGTTATTTGTCAGTGTAAAGTAAGGGTCAAGGTTATGTGTCAGTATAAGGTAAGGGTCAAGGTTATGTGTCAGTGTAAGGTAAGGATCAAGGTTATCTTCCAGTGTAAGGTAAAGGTGAAGGTTATCTGCCAGTGTAAGGTAAGGGTCAAGGTTATATTCCAGTGTAAGGTAAGGGTCAAGGTTATGTGTCAGTGTAAGGTAAGGGTCAAGGTTATATTCCAGTGTAAGGTAAAGGTCAAGGTTATCTGTTAGTGTAAGGTAAGGGTCAAGGTTATATTCCAGTGTAAGGAAAGGGTCAAGGTTATCTGACAGTGTAAGATAAGGGTCAAGGTCATATTCAGATGTAAATTAAGGGTCAGTGCTCTATTTCTTTGTAAGGGTGAGAATGAAATTGCAGTGTAAGGTAAGAGTCAAAGTCGTGTTTAATTTTTAATTTTTAGTCATGTTTTAATGCTAGATAAAAGTCACAGCATATTCCAATGTAATTTTATTGCCAATCTCAGGTTACAGTGTAAAGGTCAAGGTCAGATTACAGTGTAAAGTTCAATGTCAGATTACAGTGTAAAGGTCTAGGTCAGATTTTAGTGTATCAGTACTTTAAAGGGCAGGGAAGAAACTTAACTGATTAAAAAAAATGTAAGTGATCATAACGTCTTTTCAATCACTACATATTTATGTGCTGCATATGGACTTCAAGATTTAAATGAGTTTCTTGGTTACCATGGTTACAGGTTGCAGAGTCAGGAGATGTATGTCTCTCAGGAGGATATATAGATTTCCATGCAGCACCTGCAGCTTCTGCCTCGACAGCTGCCCCCCAGGTAAGACATGACTAACTATGTTAAGGGACGGCTCTTCAATAATATTAAAACAGCTTATATGTTACTCCATTACCTTTGACAGTTGTTTCCAATATTTTTCCAGTGTAAGATAAATTATTCTACAGTCAGAAATATTGTATTACGTCACATTGAAAAATGAATGCTTAAGTGATATTTGGTTCTATTTTCTCCCATTAATTGTTGAAGGCTGCGTCAGACTTGAAGAGCGACCTCATTTTTGAGGAGATTGGTCGCCGTGCCAAGGATGATCCCGGCATGGTGAAGAAGGTCAACAGTATATTTCAGTTCAACATTACCAAGGGAGGAAAAACAGCTGCCGTTTGGAGTAAGTAGATGGCCATCTATGCTAAATGCTTTTCATTCTGACAGTGATTACAACTTCAAAAGAACTTTGAAGAAACTTTGTACTTCGGAGTATAACACTCATTAAAACATGTAAATGTGGGTAAAATGTCAAATCTTTCTGTGAACTTTTTTTCAAAAGGAGTTAGATAAAGACGCTTTAACCGATAACAAATAGTGGCTTACATTAACTTTCCAGGTAGCACATCAATATTTATACAAAACAGACGCTGATAAATAAAAACACAAAATATATGGAATACGTAAACTGTACTCAATCCACAAGCTAAATACTTAACAATATTCACAACTGAATTCCTGAAGGTGTTCTCAAGGGTAAATTTTGAAATTGTTTTCTATTTCATCAGTTGAACCATGACATAAAGTGCTGCAGTTTTTGACAAAAGTATGAAAATTTACTGGAATATTGCATTTGTTTTGCAGTCACAAAGTCTAGTGCTTATGTATTTATTTTATTGTGTATGTTTGAATGTTGTTTCTGATATATAATGACAAATAAGAAGGTGAATATAACTAAACTTTTGTGCTCTTATATCACAGCCACAGACATGAAGACCCCCGGTGGCGCCATCTACAAGGGGCAGCCGAAACAAGGGAAAGCTGACTGCACCCTCACGATCTCTGATGATAACTTCGGTGACATGGTCACTGGCAAGCTCAACGGACAGGATGTATGTATCTCTGGCTAACTAATGACCAGTTTAGAAAAAAATATTGTGATTGGAGACGTAGTTTTGATTATTTAAAAGGTTTTTTTTGTCAGAAACATATGTAACTTTTTCATATCGTTTCGTCCAATTGAATATGTTTTTTTATTATTTCAAAAAATCTGATAGCAAAATCAGAAGATATTCAGAATATTTATTCAAGCAAATTAATAAAAAGGGGTACATTTTTTTTTTATTATTATTTCCAAAAAAATCTGATAGCAAAACAGAAGATATTCAGAATATTTATTCAAGCAAATTAATAAAAAGGGGGTACATTTTTTGCATTTTGCAAATCCTCACATTCGAATCTTCCTGAAATAAATTTATTAGAAAAGGTGTTCACAAAATCGAAGGGATTAACGGTATCTTGAAAAACAATTTCAGTTTTTAGCTCACCTGGCATGAAGTGCCAAGTGAGGTTATGCCGTGGCGCGGTGTCCGGCGTCCGTCCGGCGTCTGTCGTCCGACGTCAATATTTTACTTTAAACAACTTCTTCTCAATGACCAAAATGCCCAGGGTAATGATATTTGGCCAGTAGCATGCTGAAATGAAGGGCTACAAAGTTTGTTCGAATGAATGACCTTCACCCATATTCAAAGTCACAGGGGTCAAATATGTTAAAAACTTTAAACAACTTCTTCTCAATAACCAAAATGCCCAAGGTGATGATATTTGGCCAGTAGCATGCTGAGATGAAGGGCTACAAAGTTTGTTCAAAGAATAACCTTCACCCATATTCAAGGTCACAGGGGTCAACTATGTAAAAAACTTTAAACAACTTAANTTTAAGGTTACAAGTGTGAGATTTATACCAGGTGAGCGATGCAGGCCCATTGCACCTCTTGTTTGATGTTAAGTTGTATGTACTATTAACCACAAAATTCTGTTATCTCACTGTTTTAGGCATTCATGAAAGGACTGCTGAAAATACAAGGCAACCTGATGCTTGCTCAGAAACTGGGAGAGTTGTTCCAAACCAAGTCCAACCTCTAAAAAACATTCAAATCTAAAATTCAAATCATCAGAAATCGCAAGTGTATATATGAGAAATATATATGTTCAATCAGAACAAAATGAGGAACATTCAGCACCGGTGCTATTGTTGTTGAACAAAGGAACTTTTAGGAAAATTTTGACAGTCTGTGTGCTAATTTGACAGTCTGTGTGCTAATTTGAGTGAACAAAGATGAACTGTGTACCTTCAAAATATTTTGAGAATTAATGAGAACTGGAGACTTGTGAAAATTCAGACCACATCAAAATCTTTTATTTGAGCCGGAGATGATAATTCTAATCAGTGTACGGAACTTGAATCTAGAAATTAAATGAAATGGTAGCATACAATTCCGCAACGGATACGTCATTCCATTAACCCTTTTCACCCCAAATACATTTCCTCTTTTTTTTGTCCTTAAATAGAAATAGGAAGAAATTGGTTATGGTATATTTTAACAGTCGATGGCAAAATGTGATTTGCAGAACAGGATTCGATCCTCTGGCACACTGTGAAAAGTTGTAAGATCACAAGTCACTGGCGCGGATGAAGTAAACTTGGCCTGCTGCAAATCAGAGCTTGCCACTTATAACTGCAACATGATGGAAAACAAATTAAAGGTGTAACTGGGGTGAAAAGAGTACACAAATTTAATTCTAGATATATGATATACAGCATTCTGCATTCCTTTGGTCGAGATTATAGTGAAAATGAATTAATCTTATATTTAACATAGTGCTGTTTTATTGGACATTAATCAGACCGTTATTAAATATTTATAATGAAGTGTTTGAATGTGTGATTACAGCGGTATAATTTATCTGTGATATTTCTGTTCCTTCCTGCAGAATTAAAGAGAAAGTAGGATTTGTCTGTTTTGTATATATGTAAGAAAGGAGAAAAAGCTTGACATAGTGCTAAGAGGAGATATAAAAAGTGGATATGAAATAAGAAATCATTGTATAATGTTTGAAAGAAACAAATGCCATTTAATGTTTAAAAATAAAAATTAAATTATAAGTAATTCAACATAATGTGATTGTTTATTTTTTTCTCAAATGAATTTGTCATGTTGAAACTGACCGACAGAGGCACTTATTTATTTCATTTGTCTCATAGACTTGCTCAAGATCTTGTACTCCATAAACATTCAACAGACTTTCACAGGTCACAGGTTTCAGATAGTTAAATTGGTCCTTCAATTGAATAATCAGTTAAACATTTCCATTACAAATGTACAAAAACTACCATTCTCTAATCATTTATATAATAAAAGATTTCAACAGGTGGATGAGTCACCTGCCTCCGTACGTTCATGGCGGTGTTGATTTTCAGATTGGGGTGAGAATCTAACTTGAGCATGTATTTGATACTATAGGCATGGGTAGAAAGGTTCATGGAGGTCCAAGGGTTACTACTGCATGGAAACATTGAGACTTGGCACAAAATCCAAGATGGCTGCTGGCCATGGTGCCCATGTTGTTAGGTCACCTGAGCTTTGCTCAAGTGACCTATTCCGATCACTTTCTGTCCGTCGTTGTGCGTAGAGTTTATATATTTTCAACTTCTTCTCAAGAACCAGTGAATGGATTTTTTTCAAACTTGGTCAGAATCATCCTTGGTAAATGAGGCTACAAAATTGTTAAATTGGTATTCCTACACCAACCCCTAGGACCAGGGTGGGGCCCCAAAAGGAAAATTAACCAATATTTCAAAAATCTTCTTCTCCAGATTCAGAGGTACTACAGTCATTTTCTCTGCATGGATACAAAGATCATCAAGGGCTTTATTCAAATTGTAAATTTCAGGACCCCCGAGCTATCCGTTCTCCCTTGGGGAGGGGGTAAAGTTTACTATAATTAATATAGGGAAACAACAGTTTTGGGTATATTTTGACAACTTTTCTGTAGGAAATTATTCTTACTTGTTGAGAATTATCCTTGGAGGAAGATGGTTTTAAAGTGTAAAATTTGGATTCCTACCCCAACCCTAGGGGCCAGGGTGGGGCCCCAAAGGGAAAATTAGCCAATATTTCAAAAATCTTCTCCAGATTCAGAGGTACTACAGTCATTTTCTCTGCATGGATACAAAGATCATCAGGGGGTTTATTTAAATTGTAAATTTCAGGACCCCAGGGGGTTAAGTTTACTATAGTTTATTAGGGAAACAACACTTTTGGGTATATTTTATCCATTTTCAGCAGAAAAATATTCAAACATGGTCAGAATCATCTTTGGTAGATGAGGGTATTACATTGTAAAATTGGAATTACTGCCCAATCCCCAGGGGCTAGGGTGGGGCCCCAAAGGGAACATTTACCAATATTTTAAAATTCTTATCCTAAATTGATGACATAACAAGTATTGTATTTCACTTAGTTGACATGCTGATTTCCACATCACATCTTAACAATAAAATAAAGCTACCAGTACCTATGATATAACTTAGGTGACCGCTAAGGCACTTGGGCCTCTTGTTTTCAGATTCGGTTTAAAATCAAAACTGAACAGGTAAATTGATGCTGTAGGGATTTTGTTGCAATTTTCGTGAAAATCCAAGCATACATTTAAGAGTTATTACACAGAAACTATTTATATGCAACACCAATGCAAAACATAGTGATACCTATATGTCACCTAGCAGGTTCCAATTTGTAGTGAATAATCTAAAGTGGTTTTTTTCTTTTTTCTAAATACCATATATTATCCCATGAGTGACTGGCAGAATATTTCACTTTATATTGGACCTTCACTTCATACTATTGATAATACATCTGTATTGAGATATTATGCATATAAGCACTATACATAGGCAGACCAGCTAATCTGATGAGCGTACCTAGTTCGAAAATGCATCATTACTCCACTTCTTTCAGGGTATGGAATTTGTTAGTGGCGTGGGACCTGTGGGTATTTGGTACTAGGGTTATCCCCCCTGACTCGATTCAAAGCGCAGTCGCAATGCGGCATCTTTGAAATATTTCCGGTTGTCTGCAAGTGTGTTTTGTGCGCCGCTTCGATCAAGATATGTCTCGTAAGTACTTAAATCAGATAGTTATGTGGTATATACTCTGCTTCCGTTGTGAAAACAATGCTATATTTGCATTAGTTTGGTTAAAAAAATATTTGATCTCGTAATTCATTTGTAAACACTGTATTTTGTGATGGTGACAAGTCGGTGCACGACCGCAACAATATCGCTCCTGTCAAAACATTACCTGAGGCAGACGTGAGAGTTCAGAAATAATTACACGGTGTATTGTCAGACCATAACATGTTTCTAACTCTTCTTATATTCACAACAAGACAATGAATTAAACTGACATTGTTGATAAATATGTTGTTGTCTCAGTTATCTAGTGGTGTCGTAGGCCTAACTGTATTGTGGAAAATCATGAAATATGGAATCAATATTGAAGCTATTGACAAATTGCCATACAAATTGCAGGCTCAATTATTCATGGCTAGGGTCGATAATGCATACTCTTTGGCTTTTCAATGGGTAATTGATTTAAGTTTGTCCTTTTTTGTGTGCGTATCAAGCTTTATAAGTTGATAATACTCAAGTTGTGTTTCAGAATACTGGATGCATTTATGCACTCAGCTCAGACATGTGCATCTTATGCTTCAATATCCTTTATGAGTATTTTTTTAGTGAAAAGTAACAAAGTAGTATAAGTGCTTGGGGATTTTTTCAGGTGTTGAATACAGGTTTCATTCCTAATTGCAAAACCTTTACATTGCCAAAAGAAAAAAAGTATGGATTTTTTGCCATCCTGTGTTTTTGTTGCACAGGAGAAAGTGTTTACTTATTTTACCCCTTTTGCAAAGACTGTTGTAGTAAAAAATGTTATGTATATTTAGACCAAATCTGATCATAATCACTGAATTCAGAATTCTGACTGCAATATTGCATACTTGTCAACTTATATTTTTTTAGTGGGGAAGATAAAATAATGCTTAAGGATACCCAATGGGAAAAACAACACTTCAAAATGACGTCTTTTGAGTTGATCTTTCAGATGAAATCATTAATAGAACATAGGATTAGGTTCGCAAATACATTGATTGATTTTAGGGTCCAAAATTGAGTCTTCTTCAAAAAGAAGGAGAGTTCCCAAGTATTTGATCATGATTGATCACTTGGTTAATGGTTAGGGTTGATTTCATAAATGGACTTGTAAAAATAATCATCAATCATGTTATTAGTTATTACCAATAATATCAACCAACCTTGATTGACATAATAGAGCTGACAGGGGAGGAAATGTCAACATTCCTAAGGTCAGAATAAAATCTGTGTATCATGGTATTAGTCTGAATGTTGAAGTTCGCAGAGGTGTAATTATAAGTCAAAAATCAGCAGAACATTGTGAATAGCAAGCAGAGATTGCTCAGTACCATAATATGATTTGATGTTTCACAATCACCTATATATGACAACTTTTTTTTTGAAAATGTATGTACCTACAGTACTCGGTGATTAATAAACTCACCCCAGTACAATCAATAATTACCCTAAAATAGATGTACACAAAAGTCCATTGTATGCTTGTAATCAGCATCTAACTTTGTTTTCCAATGGGGATGAATCAAAATCAGTTTGACCATCCTATATTTGACATTTTTTCCTGTTATAAAATGTATTACCCTTGATAATGTATAGAGTGGTTAGGTGGTACAGTGGATAACACATATGTACCCTCGTCTTTCACAAAGACAACCAGATAGATTTTCTCCGGGTACTTCGGTTTCCCTGCACACTAACATGTGGGCAAACCAGAGTGATTAAATATAAGCTTTAATAATTTGTTTCATAATTGTTGTCAAATGAATGAAGTTATATAAATATATAAATGTATTGTCTTCAAATTTGAATAAGAGCTCAGGAGCTCACCATACTTTTGTTCACTTATATTTACTGATAATGTCACAGCATGGCTATATAGAAGGAAAATGTTGGAATAACTCGGTGAACTTACATGTAAATTTAATCTCTGTGTATTGACACAGAGGATTATTTGACTGTTTGTTAAACATGAAATATTTCTGCGCTGACACCTCTGTCTTTGATTTTATCACGGAGACATCGATAAAGAAGCTAAGTAAATAGACTAGTCTTGATCATTACAAGGGGAAACTCAAGTGGTCACTGGAGAACAGCTGCTCTGATATTCTTGTCAGTTCAGTGAAATGAAATTTGACCAGTACTAGTTAACATACTCGACAACTCTCCCTGATGCTATTGAGGAGAGAGACTCCCAATTATGGACTCTTAACATTTAACATTTCCAATCAAAGAATTTGCAAAAGATTCCTATGTTTTAAGATTTCATCTGAAAGAACAACTGAAAATATGCCATTTTAAAGTGTTATATTTTTCTCTAGATGGTGTATACATGCAGCCATTTTATTTATGCTTTTACATTATGTATTTTAGACCATGTGGAATTATCCCTATTAAAATTTTAAAAGTTTGGCAAGTGCGACATAATTTTTGTTCCAGTGATTCTACAGAATAGAAGTTTTAGTCCTGGACTTGCCTTGTTTTAGCTTGAACTTGACCATCTTGAAATATTGCATTACCATGTTACTTGTTATGGCACAGTTATGGTACTCAAGGTATTGGTATGTATTATTAACAAAATTCTTTGCTGAAGTTGGAGTCTAATCAGTGCCGTATGTTAAAAACCATCACCATGCAACTTGTACTCAACCCTTACGAATAGCTGTCATTTAACAATGCATGCACATTGTAGCATTATAATGTTCAAGTTTAATAATTCTCCAACAAAAGTCAAACTGACGTTTCCTTTAGAACTTGGTTGGTTCTAAGATTAAACTTAATGTCCAGAATAAAAGTAATATGCCAGTTTTCTAAGTGCATGGTGGGAGGCCTGGTGATACTTTAAGAAATGAAAGTTATTACCGGATCAGCGTTGTGTCCCCACTTGTTCCTACAAGTTATGCCATTAGGTTACATAAATATATGTGCATATATCATGCCGTTGAAAAGTTCACGAAAATGG